CTCTCTCTCTCTCTCTCTCTCTCTCTCTCTCTCTCTCTCTCTCTCTCTCTCAATAATCCATTTCTTAAGGCCAGTGTATACCACGCCTACCAATTAGTCCACTCACATGGTATACCCGATGAAAACATAATAGTGATGCACTACGACGACCTTGCTCAAAATGAGGACAACCCCACCAAAGGTATTGTCGTGAATGAGCCAAACGGTACGAATGTCTACAATAAGGTCCCGAAAGACTATATCGGAGTTGAAGTCAATCCATTGGTATGTTATCTATATTTTATGCATTATTTATGTAATGAATTATATTTCATAAAAATTTAGACATTTTTGGCTGTCCTAAGAGCTGATCCCGTGTTAGTACACATGCATAAGAAAGTGCTCAATAGTGGTCCTAACGATCACGTATTCATTTACTTTGTTGACCATGGTGCACCGGGTAAATTATTAAAAACACTATATTTCTAATATACTAATAAAATTTGTAAGAATTATGTCTTACCCTAATACTATATGAATTAATTTAATACTAATTACAACATTGAATTACCTTGTTTAATTAAGGTCTAATACAATTCCCACATTATTCGGATGCCATACACGCCGAGGACCTAAATAAGGCGCTCATAGATATGCATCAAAATAAAAGATTTGCAAAATTAGTGTTTTATTTGGAGACATGCTATTCAGGTAATAAAATACAGTATTATTGTTATATAAATTGACACTGATCAAAATTTTATAATGAAAATTAACTTTAGGTTCAATGTTTGACAATTTGCTACCAAACGATATGAACGTATACGCGGTAACTTCATCCGGACCACAGGAATTGAGCTACGGGTGCTGCTTTGATAAGCTCCGGGATGCCTACGTGGGTTAGTAGACGTGTCGAGGCATATAAATAAGTTGAAAATAATGTATGTTGTATTTTTTAGCCGGATACTTTAGTACAAACTGGTTCGCTGACTGGCAAAAGCATGATGTCCTTACAGAGACACTGGATGCTCAATATGATTACATTAAGAGCAAGGTCGATTTATTCGACCCCAGATTTAATGAGACGTATCACCAACACGCCCAACACTATGGAGATTTATCTATTGGCAAATTGCCACTTGCACAATTTTTAGGTTTGTATATTAATCGAGATTATTTAATATTGGAGATTAATTTTAGTTGTTAAATAAGTAATTTTTAAAAATTATCAGGGTCTAAAAATTTGGATATGCCCGAGGTTAATACAAAATTGAATGATGAAAGTGAGCCATGCACTTTCGTGAGCACCCAGGACATGCCCGTCCGTATGTTACAAATGAAAATTGAATCGACAGATGATATTAGCATCAGGGATAAGTAAGTTTATTATAAATATACAAGTATAATTTAAAATTATTTATTTGATTTTATAGATATACTGAACAATTGGATGAATTATTAAATGGTCGACAATATGTTGATAAAGTATTTGATGAATACGTGAATAGTATTCAACACATAATACCAAACATTGAAAGCAATGCTATACTCAATACGAAACAAGAGCTCAATAATAGACACTGTTATCGACAACTGGTCGACACGTTTCATCAAAAGTGTCTACATTTGGGACTGGTATGTAAATTCTTATAATTTCTAGATAATAATTATTATATAAATTTTATAAAAACTTGTAGAATACGTATGCATTGAGTAAAATGCAAATATTTGTGAATATTTGTGAAACATTGGATAATTCAAACATTGCAAACATCGCCGTCAAACAGTTACTACAATACTGTGATGCGAACATTAAACCTGGTCATCCTACAAATATTATATAATTAATTGTTTTGTTAATTAATTATTTAACCTTGAATTAATGAATATTGTGAATTTATCAATTTTAGTAATTAATATTCAAATATTTTAATCATTGGTTTAAATATAATTACTTGATAACTTTACATTTAAAAGTCTAAAAATATTTTCAATAACTAATAAAATAATTAAAATGTATTTTCAAACCATAAACATTGCATACTTTAATCTAATTTTAACCAAAATATCCGTATCCAATCAAATCTTTACTCAATGTTTACATAACAAGTGCTCAAGAAGTGTGACAGACATCCATCAATTAGAATAACCAAAACTCAGGTATTTGTCGAAAACCACACTTGACTTTGAGAGGGGCACTTGTCCCGACAAAATGATGGCCGTCAGAGCAAATTTGATGTTCATAATGGCAACAGTCAAGGCGGGTGATAAACGAACAAGCACACTCCACTTTGAGAGGGGCACCTGTAAGTAGGCAAGAGATATCAATAAATTACTACAAATTTTATTCAATTATTTCAAATTATGATTGTTTTAATAAACAGTTGACACTTTTTTATTAAAATATTACCATTGTAATTTTGTTACATTTACTTATTTAAACTTACCAATATATTTTATATATTTAGTGAATCATACGTAGTTCGTGTACTCTATTATTACGATTTACCTGGTTGCCATTTATATTTATAGTGTTAATATTTATAACAGCATTTCGTAGGCTAAACATATTGAAGGTATTATATAATTTACAACACATTTGTCCACAAATATTGCTAAACATAATGACATCGAAACCAAACCATAGGCTAAGTATACTCGCCATAAGACACACGTATTCCTCAAATGACATCTTATTAAAAATTTTAATGATAAGTATTGGTTCAGCCGGGTATAATAAATTCAGGTAAAATGAGCTCTCATTAAATGAATTGCTATCGCATTTGTAATTAACTGAATAAAAAACTTGATTACAATCGCGAATATTATAGCATTCACTCTCACATTCAGTATTATATAGATTGTGATTAAAATAAACATTAAAATGTGAATTATTATTTAAAATGTCGTAGGTCAAATAATGCGTAAATAGTGTCGAGTTCAGTTTGTATAATCGCCTCGCCTTGCATTCAACTATGCATTCATAATGTGTTTTATCACTGCTACAATGTACCATGGTCATATTTTGTATAATGCGCTCATTATAAATAATATCGCAATAATCATATCCAAAAAGGCTCATTCTCAATTTATTTCTGCTATATATATAATACGCTGCCTCTCGACGTGAATGCAAACCCAAATGTACCTTGCTTTTATGTATTACACTTTTGTTTTCTATTTTTATGCTGATCATAATAGAATAATCCAGGTTCATGTTACTAATGGCATATCTATTATCAAATTGATGTATATTTTGCGAGAATAATGTTAAACAATAGTAAAAATAATCCATTGAAATCTTATAATCAGAAAGTATACTACACTCCCGATTATCACTACCAAGGTAACTATAATTATATTGTATTGCTCCATTTAAATGACATTTGATTAGTTTATTAGCTTGATCCATCAATCTAATCTGTTTACCAACAGATAACTTATTAAATCTTTCATAATTAAAATACGTGTCGTTATAATACTTGAGATGATCAGTGAAATTATATCTGATTTCATTTGTTAGAAACAATTTCTTTTGAGAACATATTGATTATTAAATCTTTCATAATTAAAATACGTGTCGTTATAATACTTGAGATGATCAGTGAAATGATATCTGATTTCATTTGTTAGAAACAATTTCTTTTGAGAACATATTGTAATGGCTGGCAATGATAGCTCCGGTTTGTAATTAATATTAGTAGTGGTTTCGTATGAGAAGTATAATAAACTGATCTTGTACGTTTGATACATACATCCTATTAGACAAATTACCCGGACAATAATCATCAACTTATTCATAATTATTATATATAACAAATTGCAAAATCAATGTAACATTTAGTGTGTTAACTTTTGTCTACCTGTTTACTAGTATAATGAAAATAATTTTACAATATTTTTTAGCAAATAAATATTTGTTTAACAGTTTATATAAAATAAATTTTATTATGATAAACAATGTTCACATTAAAAGTATTGACAATTTATATTACATATTAACTTAATGTAATTAAAATCGATTAGTTTATTTAACATTGATTCATTCAAAAGTCAAAAAAATTTTCAATTTTTTTAACTTGATAACCAAGATAATAATAGTTTTAGAAATTGTTTAGTGAGCTAATCTTAATCGCTGTAATCTGTTATTATGGTCTAATTGATTATCAGTGACATTTATATAATTAATATAACCTCTAATGTAATGATTTTTGTGTCACTTTATTTATAATGAAAAACAATTTCTAATATTTTAAGTAAATAAATATTTGTTCAACTTTTATATAAAATAAATTTTTAGTAAACAATATTCAAATTAAAAGTTTGTCAATATAGTATAGGCTCTATAGTAACTTCATGTAATTAACATTGATTAGTTTATTTAACATTTATTTATTAAAAAGTCAATCAAATTAATGGAATACACTGATGAATATACAAAATTAATTTAAATTTGACCAAGATGCAAATGTTTAGGAAATATTTAGTGAGTCAGTCTTAACTGCTGTACTCTGTTATTATGGTTTAATTGATTGTCACTAATATTTATATTATTAATTGTGATTTTATTTATTGTGTGATAGTTTAAAATAAGTTTATTATAAATATTATATAATTTACAAAACATTTGTCCACAAAATCTGCTAAACATAATGACATCGAAACCAAACCATAGGCTAAGTATACTCGCCATAAGACACATGTATTCCTCGAAATACATCTTATCGTAGATCTCGTAGATAGTCGTCGGTTCAGCCGGGTATTCAACGTATATTACATATTGACCTTGATCACCGTTCATAAAATGTCCTTTGTCACCCATCGTTGCATAATAACTTTGAACACAACTAATCCTTGCATTGCATTCTCGTTCACATAAACTGTTGTATCGATTATTATGTAAATCGGTTTCAGTTGAGAAATAATTACTATTATTATTAAAAACATCATAATTAAGATATTGTTTATTTATAAACGGACTGGCTAGTTTTGTATTTCTAAGTTTGCACTCAATAGCACATTCATCTCGTGTCTTATTATGTACACAAAAATCTCTGGTCATATACTTAACCACTGATTGTCTGTATCTTAAGACACAGTAATTATATTTACTATTAATCGCCAAATATTGTGAACCAATTCTGTGGGAATCGTATATACGTTCACTCCTTGAGTGCATATAAAATGTTACCATGTTATTATATATGTAATTAACTACTGATCTGTTCTGGATACTAAACATTAAATAATGAAAATCATGCATCTCAATTAAACTATCATGCTTAATTGTAAACAGATCATCCGGCTCATTAGACCATTGCGTGAATAATGATATACAATATCTATGACCATTCATAGAGTATCTATATTTGACTATTGACTCACAAGTACTTCGGTTATGAGAAATGTGTGACAAATAAGTTATGTTACAATTCATTACAGTTTTAGCCAGCACCATTTGCTCATATTGTTGGGCAATTGTGAGTTCATTGAATTTCTTATAATCAAAGTAATTATTATTTCCAATAACTGTGTCATAAATATGAGATTTGTTTGCTAATAGAAAATCCTTTTTAAAACATACGGTTATCGCCGGCAATGATAACTGTGTTTCCGATCCGTATTTAACACGAGTTATAGTTTCGTATGAAAAGTATAGTTCACTTATTTTGTAGGTTTGATATATACATCCAATTATACATAAAAATCTGATAACTATTTTTATACAAATTTTTAACTTATTTGCCATTTTGTAGATATGTTTAAATCTGCGATCGCCACTAGACGGTGTGTGAGACGGTGTCTCTAGGATTGCCAGCTATCCTTGCGAATAGCGGAATTCTCCCTGAATATACTGATTAACATAGAATCAAACAGAAATGAATTCATTTAACTATTAAAACTACTTAAATAGCTTTGACTTGCATTTATTTTTATTTTAACCAGCTATCCTTGCGAATAGCGGAATTCTCCCTGAATATACTGATTAACATAGAATCAAACTCTTTACTTAAGTAAATTGATAATTTTGATGAATTTATCGAAACTGAACGTAAATAAAAATAAAATGAATTAAGTAAATATTTAAAGTAAAATTACTATTTATAAATTAGTTCTGCCAGTATTATGTATGTAGAATTTTCTAGCTGGAAATTGGGATTTTTTGATTGGATACAAAGTTCACTCAATTCTGAGTCCAAGTGTTTCATTTATATTGTCCTGTGACCTCGGGGTCGGCCGCAGTGATCAAATTTATCGGAAAATTTTATATAACATCAACTATACCGAATCTGAAGTCTCATTACAAACTAAATGATTTTTTCGTACTTCCCATATAAAGAATTTTATATTAAATTGTCGAACCCTAATTGCCAATTTATCATATATTATTTTATTTTACCGAAATGACAACTTTTATCGGTAGTTTATTATGATAAATATAAACATGTGATATTTCAACTTTAGAAGAGACTCGAATATATACGTAAAATTTGTGAAATCTTAAGTTTTAACAAAGAATATGCGATTATAAAGATTTACAAGCAATTATCTATCCATTTTTGGGTGAAAATTGTGCTGTTTATTAATTTCATTAACACCAAATTATTCTGCTTAAAATTAACTATAAATTTAATATCAAATGTTGATGTTATATAAAAATTTTCCGACAAATTTGATCACTGCGGCCGACCCCGAGGTCACAGGACAATATAAATGAAACACTTGGACTCAGAATTGAGTGAACTTTGTATCAAATCAAAAAAAAATCCCATTTGCCAGCTAGAAAATTCTATATTGTACAGTTCTCTTAGCTCTACAATATGCGGATAGGCTGTACTGCAAAGCTGTCCCTGAACAGAAACTTAACTGCCAATGTATTTTATGACGTGACGATAAACTGTGCTTATACGTATTGTCACTTGAAATTTCAAACGTCACGTCATAAAATACATTCCGTCAATTCAGATGGGAGTATAACATCTCGTTTCTCTTGACATATATGACCGTCTTGATTAAATATTTATCATTAAAATGAAATTTATAAATGAATTAAGTAAAATAAAAATAAATGCAAGTCAAAGCTATTTAAGTAGTTTTAATAGTTAAATGAATTCATTTCT